CCCTGCAAATGGACAGGGCTAGAAATAACTGCACTCCACAGATGACTGACACAATCCACAACCACTGCTGCTACACATCACCTTTTCATTAAAAAAACCCAAGCATAAATAAAAGAAATGACACCCCCTCCGCCCCCCCCCAAAAAAGACCACACAGAGAAACTGTAATGCTTTCCCAGTAAAATTCTGGGACAATTGTACGAGATGAGGCAAAATTACCACACATGGTCACTGCAGACATGTGAAAGAAAGTCAGGTCAAAACAACAGAAGAAAATGATGTTTCTGAACAGAAAATAATTTTCACACTGGGGAAGAGGGGGCAATCCTCCCCATCTCTCCAAAAATGCCTGCCTTGAAGCAGGAAAACGTATCCCAGCCTGTGTGGTATGTTTAGAAAAAAATAAACGTAACCATAAAAGAGGCAAGATTGCAGTTGCAGACATTTCTACTAGATGGAAAAAGCAGAAGCGCTTTCTTCCTTTATCACTTTTTTTTTAAATCTAGCTTTGTATTTCCAGAGCCTTCAAATCAGCAGCCAAATGCAGATTCTATTGGCATCTACCAGGGCCATTATAATCCAGTTTCCAATTCATCAAGTTCTATATGAAAAGGGTCAACCTCTCTGGAGAACAAGGTTACTTCATAAGCTTTAATTAATTGTTGAGAGAAAAGCAAGAGAAGCAGTGCAGCAAAGATTATTGTATCAACTTTTATCCAGGCACAGAAATTAGAGTTTCTCATCTTATGAAAAAAGGGGGGGCGGAGGGGGAAGCCTGACATAAAGTAGCCACATCCACTATTATGTCTAATAAGTAATAAGGGTTTGAAGAGGCATCAAAAGAAATAATTAGGAGATGACAGACCATCTGCTCCAATTTTTCCTATATAAATATTGTTCCCTGCAAATACAGTTTACTTGTCACAGGAGACACGCTCCTCCATGTGGATCACAAAGGTACGATGTCCAGTTAGGACCTCACCTCCTCATTAAAAGTGACAAGCCACCACGACCCAGCTGCAGACTGTCAGCTCCCAGTTCCAGTCTGGACCATTCTGTCAGGATTCTGGGTATTTTATTTAAATTATTCAGAGATATGAATTTAATGATGGTATTAAGTGACACATCTCAGCAAAGAAGCAATGTTGAAAAGTGTACTAGTGGCAACGAAAGGAAACAGTATTGCTCCGTGTTCTAATTTCCACTGTTATTCAAGGTAATTCCGGGCGTACAGAAGTCAAGTCCTTTGGGGTAAGGACTTTCCTTATGTGGTGTTGCCAGTTGGTTTTTCGAACAGAGGCCCAACTTTATTATTCTGTGTCTGCACTGGATATTACTCTTCAGTGCCTTTCAAGCTGACATATTTAATTAACTATCATTTCAACTACTGAAAGAAATTCACAAAGCTGCTAATGATTCACACCCTTCCCAAAATCTGCAGAAGCATACAGTCAGGCTGCAGCAGATTAAGACAACTAAGTCCCAGTAAACCCAGCCTCTCTTAACAGAAAAGCCGGCTCCCAACATTACACAGCTCCACCACAGCAAAGAGCTCATCTAAGTGGCCCCGCAGGAAAGAGATCATCGCATGCACAAGTAATATCTTGCCTAAGCTTGCACGCTTATACGTGCTAACACAGAACGGCAGCTCTTCAGGTGCCAGACTGTCAGCAAATCTATCAATCTGGAGAACAAGTGTATTAACACTATCATTTATATTGCAACCTTGCCTACAAGCCCGAGGCTACACTGCAGAAGACACCGTACAAGTGTCATGATAAATAGTTGACCAGCTTTATTCTAAAGGCTTCTCATTTGAGATGCTGAGTGCTTCATTCTCACCCGAAGGTCTGCAGTGATAGCACCTTCAAATTTTAAGAGGAAAAAGACTGGCCTTAAAGCTAGCTGAGAGCTGGAGAGATCCACGTAGTCCACTTTCTCACTAGCAAACACCTCCTCTGCCTCTGGTATGTGTGGAAGTCAAAATCTGTGGAACAGTGGAAACATGGTCAACTCAAACATGCTGAAAAGCACCCCTGCCCCCCCGCCCCCCCCAAAAATCAACACACACAAAAAATAATCACGTTACACTGCATGGAATTTTTAATCTGCTTGATGATCAATAAATAAGCCTCCTCAGCTTTTTCCCTGTTCCCCTACAATTTCCAGTTCTATATTGGGCCTGAAAAATGCATGTGAATGAGGTTTGACTTCTCTTCCTTATGCCATTGTTGGCCAGCAGATTGGGTTACGTTTCTTGACACTGCTGAAATCCAATATAGCAACATCAACAGCTGGCACCAATATCAAAGATCAAATTCCACAATCAGGAGAGGCATTTTGACCCGAAATTGCACTGACCGTGTAATAGCCACCAAGTATCAACTAGCAGTCTCAAAATTATAACCAGTAAACCATCTCCTTAGATGTTCTCATCAATGTCTGATCTTCTCCAGTCGCTTGGGGAACGCAGGTAGGACAAACCTCTACAGTTAGCTGACTCTCAAGTCAAGCTTTACAACCAAGCAGGAGGAGATTGTATGGCCCTTTGCTCTCAGGTTTAACAGCAAATAGGCAATTCTACCGGCATCTGGTTTAACTAAGCAAATACTCTTGAGAGGCAGTAATTTTCAAAGCACGTCCTAAACCACACTGCTTAGTTCATTTTCAGGTGTCATTTAATCTGTCGGTCTTCAGAAGAATAAAAAAACCGCAACCCTAATGAGCAAGACACAACTGGACTGGACTCCACATTATCTCTGTTCTTGTGCCAGCTGTGGAGCTGAATCGCTGTGGACAGACCATCTCCAGCTCTCCTTGCCTGGCACGAAGGTGAATCCAACCGAAAGGCTTTTCCTAGCGGTTCTGACAGTGCCAAGACATTCACAGCCTGCAATGATAATACAAAAATTACTCTTTATTTCCGTTTTCTTTTAGGACAGGCCACCGCTACTAGATTTGAAGCAGGCATCTGCTGAAAGAAATCCTGGGTGGTGCAGGCCAGACTAGCTGATGCTTTCTAAAGCTACAAAATTAGGAAAAGTCTTTCATGAGCCAAAGATTTTTTTTTTCTGTTGTCGACACTTTGTTCAGAGTGAAAAAATATAAAGTGGAGAGTTTCTAGACAGAAGGTACAACAGACTTTTTATTAACTACTACTGGCAATGGGAGAGAAGATACTGAAACAATATAAAACCTCACATTTATTCTTCAGTCTAGAAATTTATTCCTCTGAAATCTCACATTCTTAAGATCGGTTGGACCTTCACTGCCACAGTTCACTATTCCTCTGCATCCTTTCCGGCATTTTTTTTTTTCTTTTTTAAAAAGTTGTACATAACAATTTTCTCATGCTCATTTTTCCAATTCAAAATACAAAGCAGATTTCATCACAACAATATCTACTTAAGTTTTCAGCTATTCAACATTTCAGATCTTTTCCACTTTATAAACTAGGAAGAACAGGATATCTTCTCCTCAGGTCACACGTGCTAGCATTAGGAACAATGTGAAGTCAGATCCCCCCCGTGAGCCTTTTTTCATTATTAAGCTTTTGAAAAAACTTCAAACCCACCATGACTTTATCCTTTTTAGCATTTTTTACCTTTATGACTTGTCTATACCCTCTGGATATAAGAGGAAAGCAACCAGTCACACGACAACAGGGCAAGATGAAGGGGAGAAGCCACATTCCTGTAGGCAGATCAAACATCCTTCTCCTCGGAGCCGCTAACAAATCCTAGTTGTTGTGATTTATGCTATAGCCAGAGGGCCACTCTTGGCAGTCATTAAAAAAACCCTAACCAATGTTATAAGGACACCTGCAATCCTTCAGACTGACTCAGTCCTCAAGCACAGGAAAACTCTTAAGCACAAAACTTCACAATTACAGAGTACGCACATCTGTCACTATCAAAGCAAGAGCTGACCGATATAACCAAAAGAACGTATTACAAATCCAAGAACCAGAAACGTTACGAATCTCTTCAGGTTTGATTCCTTGTCACTCCCCAGCTCCAACCAGCATCTGAAAAGAGGGAGACAAGCTCGCATCTAGTATTTAGTCATAAAACTTGCCTAACTGCTTCATGTCTTTTATAGAAGAAAACTGGAAGATCAAACAGAGAGATTGCTAAAAATGATCAGAACATGTAAATTTTGATTTCTTTGTACCCAGGATGTTTCTCGGTTCTCCACATTGCCAGAGCATTAAAA